ATCTACATATCTACCAACGTTATATTTTAAGATCTGTGAAAGAACTCAGCTAACAGAAGTTTCCGCATATAAAAGCTATCTTCTTGTTTGATAAGTGTATAACTGATCAAACATGTTTCATAAGACTCTTTACAGCTAATTTGTTTGTTGTTGCTTTCGTTAATAATGAGAGTATCCAACTGATGACTCAGTCTAGGCTAATGTTATACGTTATTAGGGATTACATTAAAATATGTTTGTTTAAATTATGTTAGCTTACTTTTAATGAGAAGTTGTTAAAGTGCTTCAGAACTTGTTTGAAATTTCAGGCAGTTATTTTTTGTCAACATTGACCTTCAAGATTGCTTTGGTTCCATGAAGCATGACTTGTTATTAGAGATTGTGAAGAAAGTCCTGAAACAGGTAAAGGCCAAAATAAAAGAAAAAAAACAAAAGACTTAAGAAAAGATTATATAGCCAAGCTTTTAATAAGCTTGTACAATTCATTTAATTCACTAATTGTTGTTGCCCTTTAATTGTTTTTTAAGCAACACATAAACTACTGCAGAAATTCCAAAACCAGCGAGTCGTATTTCTTTCAACTTATTTCACTTAAAATAAGTGAAAAACTGTATTGTATTGGAAGGTAAGACAGATTACTGCTCACATCTATATGTACAATACAGAATTGCTATTAATGAAATTTGTTTAATTTAGAAACTTTCACATTGTGTATATTATCACAACTGTCTTACTTGTGTGTATACAAGTAATTCTTTTGTAAGTTATTTAATCTTTTTCTAATGGAGGTGCTCCACTGGACAAATAAAATGCCTGACAAATAGTGTAAACATCACTTTTATAGGGACAGCTGGGTGTGAGGAAATTCTTAAACTTGTGGTATCTAAATTTTAAACACAATCACCAAATTTTACATATCTTTATATTGGATAATCAACTGTATAATTAGAATGAATTTTAATTGAAAAAATCATAGCTTTTTTTAGGGTAACCAGTATAAGACTGTAGATACTTTTTACACTTCATTATTAACCAGCCCATTAGGGTTTTTAGAATAAACAATAGTTCATCAGTAATATAATGGGTCAACTAAAAGCAAAAAGTAGAAAGGCACTTTAGCTTTATCCCGATGAAAGTTTCTCTTCTCTACCCATCTAAACATTGGTATGAATCTAACCTCGCATGCTCCAGCCTTTATGCCTCACTATGTTACCCAAAGCCAGATAAATCTTATAAGTGCTGGAGCAAGTGGGGTGAGATGCATACAAATGCTTGGATGGGCAGAGAAGAGAAACTTTGAGTGGGATAAGGCTAAAGTGTAAGTGGAAGTAAATATTATCAGAGGTACATTTTTGGTATAGGAAAATGTTAACTTTTTATTGTGATTACTTAGAACATGTAAAAAAGATAAACCAATTTAGTGTACTTAGCTTTCATTACTTCACTTGATGATGGTGTAAACTATAGGTAGTTGTATTCTTTTTACTTAATTTTTTTTTATGATGTCCTAAGTAAGTATTTATAGGTGTACAATGTTTCCATGAGCAACTTTCACAGCTATTCTTAACTTCAATTTATAAAGAATGGAGAAATGGGACATCGCATCAGAAAGTACTGTATTCTACATCCTAAGGGAGGAACAGTCAGAGCTCGTTTTGTCCGTCGGGCTACGAACTTGTGTGAAAAACTGCCACAGCATATGTTAAAAGACTGTAAGGAACTGAGAAATTGTGTGGTTGTGGATCAGGTATAGTATATTTTTGATTTTCTCTCTCTCTCTTTCATCACAACTAATTGTTTTATTTTCCACTCTTGCTGGTAAAACTGCGTCTTGAAAGTGTTCCAAATTTTATATTTCAAATATATTACTTAAAATTTTTATGTAGTGCTGGGCTTTAAGAAGGAAAATGTTATTGCTTTGTATTAAGTATTCAACTCTGTTTAATTTGATGATTTTGTTAATGTGAGTTTTTCTTGAGCTAGTAAGAAATGGTTGTAGTAATATAAAGATAACTAGTTGGTGGGTAGGTGAGTGTTTATACTTTTGAGTACCCTCTGATCTTTATTATACTATTTATTTTAGCGTGCACTTATAACTGCTAACATCAGATAATATGGACTGACATCAAATATATGTTTTAAGTGGTTTCATACAAATGTTGGTCCCAAAATGGCAAACACATACCAAGAATGTAAAAATACAAGATTTTTTTACTCATTTCCATTCATTTTTACTGAGTGAATGTTTTTTTAAACTGGTAACGTAATTATAATCTGAAAAAAAATTAGTTAATTTATCTTTGAAATGTGTGCCCCCAGTGGCACAGTGGTATGTCTGCATACTTACAATACTACTTTGAAATGTGTGCCCCCAGTGGCACAGTGGTATGTCTGCATACTTACAACACTACTTTGAAATGTGT